TTATTATCAGAATTTCATTATTTCGATTTTCAATACCTATTGTAGTTTTGCAATTTTTCGATTTTAAAGTTATACAAACTTTCAATTTTGCATTTTTGCAGTTTTTTGATTTTTCAGTTTCATATTTTTACATTTTTTTTTATTTATCAGATTTTCCAATGTTTGAACTTTCAACATTGGAACAACTAGCGTTTGAGTTTAACTAAATTTTTTCTATAATGAATTGGACTTCTAAGAAATAACCTCCATCCATTATCGTCTGCACTAATTAGGTAAGGTAATTAAAAGCGATCGACATTAATTAATTTTTGTCTATGTTACAAATTTTAGCTTTTTGCATATTTTAACTAATACATATTTGCAAGTTTCTATTTTTTTAGCCTATACAGGGTGATAAAAAATGACGGATAATCTCGATGGTACGTTGTTAAGGGTGCCGTCTGGAGGCAAAATATCTGCCTGGTCAAAGTGAGAATAAAACGACCCGGGAGATGCTGCCTCCTGTTAGTGAATTGCTAAAATGTGAATAAATGCAGCACCGATCCGTAGAATTCTACATTTTACTGTACGGAAATAAGTTTTAGTACACAAGCCGCAGTGCCTGTCTAGCCATAATAGTTGCAAACAAAACCCGGGTACCTGAATTTACCCTTGACCGTTCAAAACCGGAAAGATGTAAAACTCACTGATTCATTTTCCTATTTTGGCTACAGTTAATTCTTTCCAGTTATTTATTTTGTTTCCGTACTTAAATTGTTTTCGGTAAATATATTAAATATATGTAAATATTAAAGTACCTCCTACTGTCGGGGAATTATCTGTAGATATGTGATTTATTCCTATCAAGGATGTGTTGTTTGTCTGAATTACAGGAACATCATGTAAAGCAAAAATTGGTCGCGCCAAGGTACTATTTACGAACGGGAGGGATTTTCCACATTTGTAGGCCAAACTTGAAATAAGAGAATTAACAATATTTCCGGTATAAGTAAATATTTTTATTATTTTCCTACTATCTGCACTGTCGGACATGCCCATTCATTACAAATAGAATATTTTTGGCGGAAAATTTTTCTTAAACTTAATAATGTATAAGAGTTTGGTTTTGTTATTTACTTTATCGTTTGCAACAAAACAATAGTAATAAAAATAAAAATATATTTACCAAGTAAATAACAATAAATTGTTAAAATTATTAGCCGCAATCGTTTGAAAATGAATAATAACGTGTCCTTGAAGCTATTAGCCACATAGCAAAATTTTTTACTTTCTTCAACGTAAATCATTAGTACATTGTGTGCAAGTAATTCTAAGCATTCAACGGTGGTTTTTTATGTAAGTACTAAAATATTCATGTTAATTATTTTGGCGGCTAACTGCATGGCAGAAGGCAGTTTGTTTAAAAATTTGACTTTGCTTAAACTGTTTGTTAGTATATCGTTTTGTAAGGATTTAAATAATTAATTTTAAATTTTTAATAGAAGCAGCTGCTATTTTTTATGCATATTAACTTTGACTTGCACTTTTAATTTTACGTATATCATATGCTTGCGCATCGTAAACCTCATTTTTTTGTATAAGGTGTAAATATTTTTTGTTCACTACATATTTGTCATACTGTTTCGGAAAGATTTAATTTTAAATTTTAGGCTTGAACAACAGCTTGAACGTAATTTTAAATTCGGAAAAAAATTGTTACTCAAATGGAGTCGAAAGCGTGTACAAGGGATAATTTCAGTCCGCAATACCAGTCCCACTTCCGGTGAAATCTTTGAAGAACTCGAAAAAACTGATTAAACAAATTCCCAAACCAAATATTTGAAAATATTAAACTTCAAAATTGAACAATTAACTTTGTAATTTTGATGATAAGCGTGTTTGTTGACAGTATAAAATTCCGATAAAAATGACCTTGTGAATCGTATTCTAGTAAATTATTGTTAAATTATTAATAACTAATTATTTAATGTTTAGTAGACATGCAGTTCATTAAAACAAATCAGAATTATGAAGTTAATTCTTCAAATTTAAAGTTCAATATTTTCAATTTTTCAAAAATTGTGTAGGAAATTTTTTAACCATTTTTTTTTTTAGACCATTTTTTTAACAACGTACTATCGATCTTATTCGTCATTTTTTGATCACCCTGTATTTAATTTAAGTACTTATTGTTAAAATTAAACCCCCTAAAGTTAGATTCTAGGTACCTACCTACTACGTATCTATAACAAAAATATTTTGAAATTTTAGAACACTGTTTTTAGTCTGAAAATTTTGAACTTGTTAAAATGATTGATTATATGCAGTATTTTGAAGAAACAGTTATTAGAAACAGAAAAGAAAGTCAAAAACCAAAGTTGTAAGGTTCTTTAAGGACTCTAAAATTATTTTTAACTATTTAGGTATACATAGTGTTCTGCTTTTAAGTCGTAACACAAAACTTAGTTTTTGAAAATGAAACTCTCCATAGGTATACTTTTTTTACATATTTTGATGGACCTTGGGTCAATTTTCTTGAATCTTTTTAGCAATAAAAGGATTAACAAAAAAATCACAATGGAGGTCATTTTTAAACAAATCTGTCTTACAATATTTTGTGGAGATGAGATTAAAAAAAGTACGCTCTTTTTGTGGTATAAATAAGATTAAATTTTCATATAGGTACAGAATGTTTATAAAAAAGTTTTAATTATTACCGTTTTCAAATCTCGATATTTCAGTTTCTTCAAACAGAACACCCAATATTTTGTTCTTGCATCTTAAACTATTTTTTGTTCGCTTCTTTTTGCTGAATATATTCTATAGGTATTTAATGTTGATAGTTACTGCGATTTTTTATTTTTTAAAAGACACATCGACATAATTGAAGAATAAGGACAAAAAATAAAGCAAGATACAGTAATAAAAACTGAAATATCGATACCTACTTGAAAAATGTAAAGTTTTAGATTTTTTTATGAACACTGTGTATTGGAATTTGATTTAGTTTAGCACAACAAAGCATCCAAAAAAATATTGTAAGACAGACCCTATTTTTTATGAATTCTTCCAATGCCAAAAAATTCTACCAAAATGTAAACACTAAACAGAGGTCAATCAAAATATGTAAAAATATATAGGGTGTTTCATTTGAAAAAACTAAGTTATGTGTTACAACTTTGGTCCTTGATTTTTTCTTCTATTTCTAATAATTAATGACTTCGTGACTTCATTATATGCGATATAATAAACAGCTAAGAAACATTACCTATATCTACCTTCGGATTCGGCCGATAAATTTAAAGAAATATTCTCAAAGTTTCTGCAAAAATAAAACTAATCAAAAATCTAAATTGGTTCCAAATTGTGGCAGCAAGTTAGAAATTTTTAAAATGCTAGAGTGCTTGAAAATACACACCATCAACTGTAAACTGGAAAAAACGGCAAAAGGACCACTTTCTTTTAAACTACAGTAAAATAAATTATTACAAATTTAATTTTTTTATATTCTTTTCCATGGAAAACACGACAAAAATTTTCTTTGTTTTCAACTTATGATTCCGACTTTGAAGATTTATTATTTCTATGCTTATAGAGATTATAAATTTTTAAATGGCAATCACGTTATAAATGTGACCTAGCCCATTATAATAATACACAAAGGATAATATGTAAAATGTGCAGCTTTTTTTTAGCTAATTACACTTATTATACAAATTTTAACATTTTTCTAAAGGAAACGGGTTAGATTTTATAAAAATATATAGAATTCAGTAACACATTGCAATGCCTCGCTAGTGAATGTCGGTATCTACCGATAAACATAAACAAAATTTTAAGGAGCGTGGGTATTTAAGAAAAAAATTAAGAGGACCAAATATGTGAGTGTGAAATATTAACCAGTCTAAGTTAATTGCGCAAAACATTCACCGAGAGGTATGACGAAAAGTTTTGGTAGATTTTAAACTTTAACGATTGATTTCTTTAGAGTTTCAGAAAGTTTTAATGAACAATTTTCAGAATAATGTGTAAACGATATTCACAATTTTATACTAATTAGTTTTACTTTTAAATTAAGAATTGTTGTAAAAACCAGGATATAAAATGATTACTTAGTACTTATTTAAAGTAAAAATGTCTCCGCTATACCTGAAATAATTTTTTGTTTCAGGATTTGGAGACAACATCATCTTTATTCAAACTTAAGTCAACCGATTCATTTAATTCCGTATGATAACTTGTGTTTATTTAATATTTAAAAAACACACCAAGAACTGGATACATTTCTGCTCTAAACGGTTTAGTTGGCTTTGTAGGATCAAGACTACCTATAGGTAACATTCATTATTATAAATCCTGATACCGTCTTAATTTAAATCTCCCACACATGGAAGTTTAACCCCTTTGTTAAAAAAAAATTGAAACATCCAATGAACGAGAACAACTCAACTTTATCCAAACATTCCCTATAAAATTCGACTTCACCCCAATCGAGTTAATCCTTCCATCCCTAACGCAGTCCCACAAAGCCCCAAGCAAACAAATTAATCGCTTCGATTTCCCCCAATCTCCCTCACACCATAAAATTTTATTTCCGTTTCGTACAAAATCCGGATTCTCCAACTCGCAAAATTACATTTTAAATCAAGCAATCTCGGCAACATAAAATTAAACTACTAAAGCATCTTTATAGTACCATAAAAATACAATCAATATCAGATAAGTAAGTAGATATAGCCGCGGCGCAGCAGCCTCGGTTGCCCTTATTAAGGGTTGAAGCGCTAATAGTCCGTATACATCCGCCCTAATACGTTCCGACATGTACTTACAGTCAATAAGGATCGCTTCACGCGATTTTAGGCCCAAGTTCCCGCTGCAGAAGAGCACAGAGGCGGAGCTTCCACTAACAGCAGGCAGCCAACCAAATTTCACTCGAGCTCCGCCCATTTAGCCCAGGATAAAACAAGTGATGGGGGACGCAAGGATACATTTCCTGTGAAACTTTTGTGCGTTCGAGTGTCGATGTTATGCATTTCTACGATAAAATGTTCAATCAGGAACAAAACAACAACGTTCCAGTCGTCTTGGACGTCATTCCGCCCCATTACAACATCCATCATGGGAGCTCCACGCCGCCACAGTCGCCCAACAGCCAACAATACAGCAAAGGTAAGTTTTCATTGACTGACATTCTCAATTTAAAAATTAAAGTAGTTGTCATTTCCGTGTAAACTAATATAATACCGCGATTAAGGATGCTAAATGTATATATTAATTGTGTTCGAATTGATGAAATGTCAACTTCAATGTTAAACGGAAGTGCGACGCCTTAGACTGTGTTTAGCAACATGTGGAAGACACGGCCACTTGATTGTCTAGACGGGTAGTTCCGGATCGGGGGGCTGTTGTTAATTGACGTTAAGTGAAGTACTTGAGTTTAATAGGGGTTGTTCTTATAGATTGCTCGAGTCCGACTCCTAGCGAAAAAATCAACTCTACGGCCACACCAACTGTCAGTGTTAATGATCAAAATATTAGAAGGTATCGAACGGCCTTCACGAGGGAACAGTTAGCCAGACTGGAAAAGGAGTTCTTCAAGGAAAATTATGTGTCCAGACCCAGGAGGTGCGAACTTGCAAACCAGCTGAACCTCCCAGAAAGCACCATCAAGGTAGGTTTGCATTTTCAAGTCGTTCTTTATTATTTTCAAAAATTAAATAGAAGTTTTCGAAAAAGTGAATTTGGATTTGTGATAATTCAGTTTTACTGGGGGTTCGACAGAACTTCTTTTGGCCCTAAAGTACAATAAAACATATCGAGCTTTTTCGAAAAATTACAAAATTTGATTTTGAGAATTTAATTTTTTTCATGAGAACTTCTATAAGTTACAATAAAGATACATTTTCCTTTATAAAATTACGTCATCAACATTTTTGCAAGGACACATAGGTATATTAATTTGGATAGGTGCGGTGTAACACCTACTAAAAATAATAGTATGGTATTCCCAAATTTTCGCGAAAATAGAGTGAGCCGTTCCTGATTTAATCAATAAAATCCCCCAATGAAGCAAATTCTAAAGATATAAATGCAATGATAAATCATAAGACTATATACACATTTTTGGCACATTTTCGATAGGATTTATTCAGTAAAATTTTGAGATGATGTCATCAATTTTTTGGAGAGGATAAACGGATACATCTAGATTACAAATTTACCGTGCTTATGATAACTTTAAAAACTTCGGTTTTGCGGTTTCTAATTTGATCAATAAAATAAATTGATCAAATAATCAATTTTTTTGAGTCACCCTGTATAAGCAGTTCTAACAAGTATGAATGGAATGATAAATCACAAGTATAGACACATGATATTTTGCACGTTTTAAATAGGATTTATTTGACAAAATTTTGAAATGACGTCATCAATTTTTATGGGGATCGTAAACGAATAAATTTTGATTAATTAACGATTTACTGGATGCCTAGGTTAAAAACCCAACACGGATTCATAAACTATAAGTCGGGGAGTATGTTACTTTATAAAATTTAAATAACATTTACCTACTATCGTAAATTTAGGGGATGACGTAATCATATTAGTGGTGGACATGATCAAACAAATTTTGATCAATGTTTTATCATGTACCTACACGATATTCTTAATAAGTAGGTATATACAGGGTGTTATTAAAAGGTACGTACAACAAAATTGACACTTCTTCGCGAAGTCCAAGAAATCTGAAAAACTTATTTTGTGTTATCAAAATTATAAAAGGAAAATTAACCCTTATCCAACCTTTTTAGACGCTACTGAAAGATAAATAGGTAAAATTAATTTATTTTAGTAAATCCTAGCAACTGTAACAATCAAATTTTTGTCAAGACTAAATGTTGCTATAGAAACGAGAGATGATCTTTTTATCAGAGGCGTACAACGAATTTGGACATCAATTTTAATAATTTTTATCTCTAAAACGAGAACACTTTTACCTGAACTTTTTTTAACTTTTAGCACCCATACTTCGAGACCAATTGCCGATTTTATTTTGTACGTACCTTTCAAAAACACGCTGTATACAAAATTTGACAACAATCGGTCCGATAGTTTAGATTAGAAGATTATCTATCTAACAAAAATTGACACAAAATTAATATTTTGGTCTTTTTTTTCTGAGTAGTTAGGTATACATACCTACTTACATTTTTAAATAATTTTCTGAAATCTCCAACATTATTGGCTTTTTAAGGTCTGGTAGATTATTAAATTATGGACATATTTCGTTAAAAGGATGCAGAAATTAGAAAAAGTTGTACAATTTTGTAAGAATCAACATTAAATTTTTTTTTGGATTTTTGAAATAATTTGAATTTTCATACATTTTATTTATCTCGTGATGTTTATTAATACATTTCTGGCAATGGAAAAATATTGCAATAAAAACAAAATGGCGTCTGTAAGGAAAAAACAAGTGAGAGTGTTATTCTTTAATATACTCGGAAACACATTTTTTTTTTCTTTCGGAATAATTTGAATTCTTTTCTGCTCTATGTTTTCTACTCGAAAATACTTATTAGGAAAATTCCAAAATTCTAGAAACAAATTCTTTCGGTTTCACTTTTTTCCAGTTGTCTCACTACCTTCGTTTTATTTAAATTACCTCATTACAAAAATTATGCTTACCATGAAACCACCACAAAGGTAATTTTCCGTTAGCCCATGTAATTACCCAACCCATGGCTGCCAATTAACACATTGCTCACTTAAATAAAACGCTAATACAGCTTTTAAGAGATGAAAAGAGCCGCGTTCATAAGTGTCCGCCGCTTTATGCTAATTTGGTCTCTATTACTTTGGCTTTTTAGTCGTTCAAGTCTAGTAGCCTAATGGACAGATAAGCTGGAATCATATGGTTTATGATGTGTTAACTGTTGGAGATCAAGGCGGCACGGACTGGCTACCAACACCGCTTTGTCCAACTAATTAGCGTTTCCTCAATCCACATCCATTTCTTTTGACAAGAACATTCATTAATACCCGATCGCGAAAAACAAAAAAGAAAATTTTCTTAAGAGACTTCTGGCTTATGACGCAATAAGATGCATCATTTGCATACCACACTCAACAGCAACCGCGGTATTTTAGGTCCCCCAAGGCTCCACATCAGGACCACTACTTGTCGTTCTTATAAATAAATCGTTACAGTTTCGATTAGTATCGTTAGAGTTATATCAAATTTCTTTTCATTTTTGAAAATCCTAATAATTGTTTTTTTGTTGTTGTAGGTGTGGTTCCAAAATCGACGCATGAAAGACAAGCGCCAGCGCATGGCCATCGCCTGGCCGTACGCCGCCGTCTACACCGACCCCGCGTTCGCCGCCTCTATCTTCCACGCCGCCGCCACCAGCCTGCCGCTCCACTATCCGCCGCCGCCGCCGGTCTACACGCACCACTACGCTCGGTACCACTCCTACCCCAATTTCGCCGTGCCGCCAGGCGGCATTCCGCTGCAAAACCCGGCGCTCAACCTGACGCCCTCGAACGTGGGTCCGCTTCCCGGGGGTCTGCCCCAGAACGCCCAGCTGCCGCTAAACTTGGGCCTGGACTTTCCCTACCCCACGAAGTTCGAACCCTCCACGAAGGTTTCGCCCAGGAGTTCGCCTGTGCATTCTGATCCGAGTTTGAGTCCCGACGTTCACCACGAGCCGCTGCTGATCACCGCTGAGAAGCTGTCGCCGCCCCCACAGACTAAGATGGCGCAGCAGCCGAAGTTGTTCAAGCCGTATAAGTCGGAGGTGTAAGGGGGCGGCGCTTGTATATATGTTTTTTTACTACATGTACTACTTTAGGTTAAGGGAGAGGTTTGCCTCATTTTGGAAACTAACGGAACACGATTCAGGAAATTGGGTTATCGTAAATTTAATCAAAAAATCTGTTCATTAAAAAAAACAAACAATTTTAAATTGCTTCAGGGCCGGTTTATAGAACAGCGAGTTAAATATTTAATCCTCGATTAGTTTAACAGAGAATTAAAATGTGGAATATGAGCCCGTGATTGGTCAAAACATGCGCGTTGCCTCGCAACGGACCTCAATTAAAAGTTAATCGCGTATTAACTTTAACTTCGCTTTCTATAAATCGGGTCTCAATGTTTTTGAAATTTTGGAATTACGGTTACCGAAATGAGGGTGAGTTCGCCTTTAAGTGTTGTATATAGTTGTTTGTTGTTACTTTTTATTGTTTGTGAGCTGGACTATTTTATTTATTTTGAAGATTTAGTGAAATAAACGTTTTTGATTATTTTGATGTTTTATTAGATGTAACTTACTACCCCACATTTTTCCAGTGGTTGTCCGAACCACTAATTTTGCGCTTGTTTAAGCACACAAATTCAGTTTATCATCTCCTGATGCTGCAAAATTATTTTTGTGTACCTATTTAAAAAAAAATTGGTAAACATATTTTGCGTGTAACAAACAGCGCCATGAAAACACTGAAAAAACACGTTAATTTTGTTGTTGTAGAGCCAGTATTAAAAAAACACGTTTATCAATTATTAAATAACACAGTCAAAACACTGTTTATGACACACTAACAATAAATCGTTACAATCCTTGTTCTTTGAACTGATGACCAGTTAACAAAATAAGTTTACTTTTGCTTTTTTGTACTACAGGTAAAATTGTAGAACTGATGGTATTACTAAACTTGTGAAACGTACAAAGCAATGGTCATATTACAGTTGTGGATTTAAATTTAATCCATTGAAATATTATAAAACTTATAAATTTACGGAAAAAATTCGTTTAAAAAATGTTGCAGTAGGTACATACAGGGTCAGTCAGCGAAAAGTCAAAAGTTTAAGTATTCAATTTTCAAATGGAGAATAATAACTCGCGTGCATACATAAATTCTCTGCTTTAAAAGAAGCTATAGAAAAAAGTATATTGCAGAAATACCATTTAACTTTTTTATTTTGCAGATTTTACAGTTTTTTTATTTCAAAAAAATGTAAAAAATTAGTTTTATTAGCTTCACTATTTAATATTCGTAAGTTAGTAAGTGAGTCTATACTTGTGATTTAACACTGCATTAAAAGTTTTTAGATTTCTTATACAGAGTGACTCAAAAAGTAATGAATGAATAATTAGGTAAAATCCCTCCATCTTTAATTATATCCAGAATTCTTAAATATGAGCATGTTATGCAAATATGGTGAAAAGTGTTGTTCAAAAAAAGATATAGGTATGTTAGCTGACATGGAGCTTTAGTTCAGAATTGACCTAAGAAAATCTTTTTTTTTACTTTATTTTTTTTTTTTATATGTTTATACATCGTTTTCTTAATGGGTCTGTCAAATCCAAACGGGTTACTTCTTCGGTCCAAAAATTCACCAACTCCGACCCAAAAATTCCAAGGAAACGAATGGTATAAACCGGAAGTCGAATACTTGAACCGTTTTAAATGATAAACCCGTAAATTCCAACAATTTTTTTTTAATATCTCAACTTACTGATGACGTGATGTTTATGTTATAACTTCTTTATCCGAAAACGGACACCCCTGAAATTTACTGTGCCTACTAATTGGAACCTCCTAAATACCAATACTTGATCAGAATTGACCAATAGACTTTCCTAATTTTTGTATTATTTTTTATGTTGATATGTTAAGAAAAATGACATCATTTGACTCATTGGATTCTTAAAGCCTGACGGCCAATTTATCCGGTCCAAAACATCACCGAGAGTGAGTAAAAAACTCCAAGAAATCAAATGGTCTAAACTGGAACTCAGATACTTCAACCGTTTTTTTAATGTCTCAATTGACGACGTGGTACTAATTTCTTTATTTAATACCGGACACGAACATACAGTTATTTCCATATCAACAATTTTATTAATTAATTACAAATCTACAAAAATTATGTTAATTGCTAAATTTTTCGTATTCTCTCTTGCCCTGTATTGTTTCTGCGGTAATTTTGGAACACACTGTATAATAAATTTGGCGTCTTCCCTGCGGAATAGACGTAAATTCGTCATTAACTCCAATACCTAAATGCTTATTATTTTTAACCAAAAGAATATTACTCTTGAAGTAATTAATCCGAATTCAGTATTAAAATAGAGATTCTTAATATATGCGAGCGTTTTCCTGACATAAAAATTAGAAGCAATGTTCATTTTAACACATGTTTTATGTTGTGTCTGGAAACCGACCAATTCAAAATTTTTATTAAACACAATTGTAAATATAAAGCTGTTAATTTTTGACAATTAATTTTGACGAGTTTTCTTCTTATTTTTCAGGAAAACAAAGGACAACTCACTCGCACAGCCAGGGAATACTTACAAAAGAATCAGTCTGCAAAGACATACAAAAAAAAATTGGGACGGCAGACAGACGGACAGACAGATAGACGGAAACGGGAGATCCATTTCTTCGTACTCTAGGAGTCATGAAAGGTCGAGAAAAAGTAAAAGTAGAGAGCCGGCCGCCGGACTCGATTACAATACTTCCTAATATTTCGCCTTTTTTTTTTCTTAATATAAGTACATAGCCATCTTTTCATAGCAAAAAACTTAAAACATGGTTAAAATGGTTTATGCAAGGAAATATGGGTTTTGCAATTATGGGACGGATGGATGTTTTAAGTTTCATGTTGTGAAAACAAGTCTACACATATAAAACAAAAAGGTAAAATATAAGCCCGCCCACCCGCCCTGCCCCAATTGTGATGATTCTTTTTATTCGCCGTGAATCAAGGAGGCGGAACTTAACTGCAAAATACTTATTTCCTTCAAGAAATTACAAACATGTTTTTGAGCACGAGAAAAAAAGGCAAAATATAAACCCCGCCCACCCGCCCCATCTCAATTGTGATGATTTTTTTAATTTCAGAAACTCAAAACTTCATCACTGTTTAGATCAGAGGAGTTATGTGTGAGGTTTAACCTTAGGTGTTAATTTTTTCTTAATATACCCATATAGTGCCCTTTGAATAACAGGATACTCAAAAAAATGTCTTAGATGGTAAATTCTTGTAGAGAGAGAAATAAGAATTTTGCATTTAAATTCCGTTCATTTGGCTCTCGACGATTATAGAAAAATCATCACAATTGAGATAGGGCTCGTGGGCGGGGCTTATATTTTGCTTTTTTTCTTAATATACGTAGTTGTCTTTTTAGAACAAGAAATTTAAAACATCTTTAAAATGGTAAATTCTTGTAGACAAATATCGATCTTGCACTTAAGCCCAGCCCCTCGATCTGACAAAGAATGAAAAATTCGTCACAATTGAGAACTGAGATCGGCGGGGGTATGGGTAGGGCCTAATCTTCGGCTTCATTTTTTTCTTAATATATACAGGGTTATTCAGCTAAGATGACCCATTTATGTTTTTAAAATAGGCAACCCAAAATACCGATTCCACCTGATCCTGGATTACAAAAAATGTTTCAAAATTAAATTGTATCAAAGTTTGCTAAATGTATAGAAACGTCAGTCAACGTCAGTGTCAGAAAAACGCCTATGCATTCAATAACGACAAAACCGACATGATCCTTAGTTATGGACACGTTATGGAGAATGACACAAAAAAGCACTTCTTTTCCCTACAAGAAACTAAGAACATGTTTAACTATCCTGTTGTTGAAAGAGAATTCTATATATTAAAAAAAAACAAAAGTTAAGTCCCACCCACCCGCCTGATCTCAATTGTGATGAGTTTTACAATTTAGTTTAATCCTAACATCAATATTTCTCTAAAAAATTCTACCTTTTTAAAAACATATTTCATATGGTAATTTCTTGTAGAGAAATGAGGAATTTGCAGCTAAACTCCGCCCTTCAGCTCAGAATGAATAAAATATTCATCAGAATTGAGAAGGGGTGGGTGGGCGGGGCTTATATTTTGTCCATTTTATCTTAATACCTATACGAAGTCTTCTTTTCCAAACAAGAAACTGAAAACATGTTTACCTAACCTGTTGTTGAAAGAGAATTCTATATATTAAAAAAAAACAAAAGTTAAGCCCCACCCACCCGCCCGATCTCAATTGTGATGAGTTTTTAAAGGCGGAGTTTAATTGTAACATTAATATTTCTCTAAAAAATTCTACCCTTTTAAAAACGTATTTCATATGGTAATTTCTTGTAGAGACATGAAGAATTTGCAGCTAAACTCCGCCCTTCAACTCACGATGAATAAAGCATTCATCACAATTGAGAAGGGGTGGGTGCGGGGCAAATATTTGGTCCGGTTTTTCTTAATATACGAAGTCTTCGTTTCCCAACAAGAAACTGAAAACACGTTTAATTATCCTGTTGTTGAAAGAAAATTCTATATATTAAGAAAAAAAAAAAGTTAAGCCCCACCCACCCGCCCGATCTCAATTGTGATGAATTTTTAAAGGCAGAGTTTAAATGTAACATCAATATTTCTCTAAAAAATTCTACCTTTTTAAAAACATTTCATATGGTAATTTCTTGTAGAAACATGAGGAATTTGCAGCTAAACTTCGCCCTTCAGCTCACAATGAATAAAATATTCATCACAATTGAGAAGGGGTGGGTGGGCGGGGCATATATTTGGTCCTATTTTTCTTAATATACCAAGTTTTCTTTTTCCAACAAGAAACTGAAAACGTATTTACCTAACCTGATGTTGAAAGAGAATTCTATATATTAAGAAAAAAAAAAAAAAAAACAAAAGTTAAGCCTCACCCGCCCGCCCGATCTCAATTGTGATGAGTTTTTAAAGGCGGAGTTTAATTGTAACATCAATATTTCTCTAAAA